TAGCTGCTATATTTTTGTACATATAGGTCCTTTTCCCTTTTTTTATCTCTTTGGGATACAGACCTAGTAGTGGTATTTCTGGGTCAAAGGGTCTACACAGTCTTTTGAGCGTAGTTCTAAATTGCTCTCCAGAATGGTTGGATCAGTTCACAAATCAACCAAAAGTGCTTTAGTGTCCCAATTTTCCCACATCCCTTCCAACATTTGTTGTTTTTCTTTTCTATCACATTAGCCAATCTGATAGGTGTGAGGTGATACCACAAGAGTTGTTTTAGTTTGCATTTCTCTAATCAATAGTAATTTAGAGCATTTTATATGACTAGAAATAGCTTTGATTTCTTCATCTGAAAATTATCTGTTCGTATCATTTGACCATTTATCAATTAGGGAATAATTTGTATTCTTATAAACTTGACTTAGTTCCCTATATATTTAAGAAATGAGACCTTTATCAGAGAAACTTGCTGTAAATTTTTTTTTCACAGTTTTGGTTACTAATTCTGTATTTCCCTCCATCCTATTTTTTCCTATTTCTTTCTCTCTCTCTCTCTTCCTCCTTTTACCCTGTACCTCCCCAAAAGTGTTTTACTTCTGACCATCACCTCCCCCAATCCAATATCCCTTCTATCAGTCCCCCCCTTCTCTTATCCCTTTCCCCTCCTACTTCCCTGTATAGCAAGATTGATTTCTATACCCAACTGAGTGTATATGTTATTCTCTCTTTGAGCCAATTCCAGTGAGAGTCAGGTTCAAGCGTTTTCTGCCACCCCACCCCTCATTTCCCCCTTTACTGTAAAAGCTCTTTTATAACTGTTTTATGTGAGAGAATTTACCTCATTTTACCTTTCCCTTCCCCCAGTGCATCCCTCTTTCTCCTCAATTTATTTTTTTAGGTATTACCCTATTATAGTCAACTCACACCTGTGCCTTCTGTCTATGTATACTTCTAACTGCTTTTAATAATGATAAAATTCTTAATACTTGCAAGTGTCATCTTCCTATGAAGGAATGTAAATTGTTTAACCATATTGAATCCCTTAGGATTTCTCTTTTCTTTTTTCTTTTTATTTTTAGGCAGTTGGGGTTAAATGACTTGCCCAGGGTCACACAGTTAATAAGTGTCATGTATTTGGTCTGAGGCCGGATTTTAAACTGAGGTCCTCCTGAATCCAGGACCAGTGCTCTATTCACTGCACCACCTAGCTGCCCCAGGATTTCTCTTTTCTGATTTACCTCTTTATGCTTCTCATAAGCCTTGTATTTGAAAGTCAAATTTTCTATTCAGCTGTTTTTGTTTTGTTTTGTTTTTCAATCAGGAATGCTTGAAAGTCCTCTATTTCTGTAAATGTCAATTTTTCCCTGGAAGAATTATACTCTCTTTTGCTGTGGGCAGGTAATTCTTGATTGTAATCCAAGCTCCTTTGCCCTCCAGAATATCATATTCCAAGCCCTCTGATCCTTTACTGTAGAAACTGCTAAATCTGGTGTTATCCTGACTATGGCATCATGATGTTTGAATTTTTTTTTCTGACTGCTTGTAATATTTTCTCCTTGACCTGGGAACTTTGGAATTTGGCTATAATATTCCTAGAAGTTTTCGCTTGAGGATCTTTTTCAAGAGGTGATCAGTGGATTCTTTCCATTTCTATTTTACTGTCTGGTTCTAGGATATGAGGGCCTAGGATATGATAATTTTTGAGGAATTATTTTCTTCAGTGAGTTTTTGTACCTCCTTTTCCATTTGGTCGATTCTACTTTTAAGGATTTCTTCTTATCAGTGAATTTTTTTAATATCTTTTTCCATTTGGCCAATTCTGCTTTTGAAGGCATCCTTCTCTTCAGTGGATTTTTGTGTCTCTTTTACCATTTGGCCTATTCTAATTTTTAAAGTGTTATTTTCTTCAGTAATTTTTTTGTGCCTCCTTTACCAAGCTGTTGACTTCTTTCATGATTTTCTTACATCACTCTCATTATTTTCTCCAATTTTTCCTCTACCTCTCATTTGATTTTTAAAAATCCTTTTTTTTTTTTTGGTGAGGTAGCTGGGGTTAAGTGACTTGCCCAGGGTCACATAGGCCAGTGCTTTATTCACTGTACCATCTAGCTACCCCCAATTTTTAAAATTCTTTTTGGGCTCTTCCAAAAATTATTTTTGGCCCTGAGACCAGTTCACATTTTTCTTGAAGGCTTTGGATGTTACTGTTTTGACTTTGTTCTTTTCTTCTGAGTTTCTGTTTTGATCTTCTCTGTCACCATAGTAATTTTCTGTGATTAAGTTCTTTTTTTGTTGTTTGCTCATTTTCCAGACTATTTCTTGACTTTTAACTTTATGTTAAAGTTGGGATCTGCTCCTGAGGTGGAGGGAGCACTGTGTCAAAGCTTGGGTTTTTCATGCTGCTGTTTTCAGCAATGTAATATGGCAATCAAAAAAAAACTAACACAGCTTTGAGCTACATTAAGAGAAGCATAGCTTTTAGGAATAAGTAGGTGACAATCTCTCTGTATTCTGCCATGATCAGACAACATTTGGACAGGACACTGATAAATTAGAGAGCAGCCAATATAGTGAGCAGCTTTGAGTGCATGTCACTATCAGTAGAAGGAATTGGAAGTGTTTAGCCTAGATAACAGAGAACTCAGACAATACATGATATCAGCAAAATCAGAACCAGGAGAAAAATGGGGGAAGCTGCAAAAAAGAAAATTAAGATTTGATGTCTAGAAAAACTTCCTAACAATTAGACTTTTTATAAAAGCAGAAAATTTATGAGATAGTGGGTTCACCATCATTGGAAGTCTTAGAGCAGAAGCTGGATAAGGACTTATCAATAAGTATTAGTGAGGAATCCTTTTCAGATATGGGTTGTACTGGGTGGCTAATGAAGTCCCTTCCAACTTTGTAGCTGAGACTTTGCCATTGGACTTCCCTAACACTGCCACAGTTGCACATTTTAAAGTAAAGAACCAGACACAGACTTAAATATCTGTCACATAATGACCAGACTAAGTGCAGAGAAGGTAATCACCAAAAGGTTGGTGACTATCTACTAAGTATTTGGTAGAGGAAAACTTATATCAATCAAAATGGGGTCCTTAAAGTATTGAAATGATAGCATTGGTAGTCAATCTCTATTGCTTAAAAAAAGGCAAATGAAACACTACAGAACAAAATTAAAACTATAAAGAGCTCAGAATAATTACAAGTTTCACATTAAATTTTAGTTCTTGTCGGTTACTGTATAATCTAACTTCTTCTCCTCTTCTCTTCTCCCTTTTCCTCTCATCTCCTCCAAGAAAATCCTCAATCTACCTTTAAAATTCTTCTTCTTTCCAAATTGAAGCAAACAATGGACAATGATTATCTGTTTGAGATGTCCTTGAATGTTCATTAAAATTGTTACCCATATAATCACTCTGACTCCTTTGAAACTCATTGTTTCTTTAAAAATTACTTTGCATTTGTGCCAATTTTGGCCTAACAATTAACACCAAGAAAACACAGGTGCTCCTCCAGCCAGCACCACACTATCCTTGTGTGGAACCATCAGTTATAACAAATGAAAAAGTTTTGAATAGTGTTCACTTACCTTGGCAGTATACTTTCCAGGGACATACACATTGATAATGAGGTTGATGCATGCATTGCCAAAGCTAGTTCAGTGTTTGGTAGGCTTCAAAGGAAAGCATGGGAGAGAAGAGGTATTAGACTGACTATCAAACTGAAGATCACCATTATGCTAACCTCGTTGTTGTATACCTGTGAAACCTGAACAGTATACCAGCACTGTGGCAGGAAACTGAATTGCTTCCTTTTGAATTGTCTTAGGAAAACTCTGAAGATCACCTGGCAGGATAAGGTACTGAACACTGAGGTCTTTTGTCGAACAACTCTGCCAAGCATTCAAACTCTACTGCAGAGAGCACAATTCCAGTGGGCTGGCCACATTGTTCAAATGCCAAATGTACACTTGCCTAAAAGACTATTTTACAGAGAACTCATACAAGCCAAGCACTCACATAATGGTCAGAAGAACTGCTACAAGGACACTCTCAAGGTCTCTCTGAAGAACTTTCAAATTGGTTGTGTGATGTAAAGATGCTGGGAAAGGACTACCCAGCATGGTGTACCTGCATCAAAGAAGGCACTGTGCTATATGAGCAAAGCAGAACTGAAGTAGCTTAAAAGAAACATGAGATGCACAAATTTAGAGAATTCACCCCAAATGTTCACATGGACTATTTGTGCCCAACCTGTGGTAGAGCATTCTAAGCTTATATAGGTCTGAGCAGCCACAGTCGGACACAGTATAATTTGACTCTTAACATAATGATGCCATTTTGGTCCTCCTTGAGAACAAAGGACAACAACCACTACAACCCAACTTTGCATATACCTGTGATATGTGTAGATGTTCAAATGATACAAAACTAGTAACATTCAGTTTGTTTCTAAGACCAGTAACATGGTTTGACCAAGGAACAAAAGCTAAGGATAGAAAAGAAAATCAAGGCAGAACCAGAAATAATATTTTTAAAATTTGGATTACAATAGAAATTATGATGTGGTGTATTTCAGTTGACTCCTGGCACCTCCCCTACCAGATAATTAATGAAGTTTATGAGGAAATTTTCTGGCTGGTAAAATTAATTTGCAAACTAAAATGTTTGTATAATGATAAAAGATACATTTCAGGATGCCTCTCCCCCACCCAAGCTGTGATCATTTGTGACTTGAAATATTATATTTGTTCCCTTTTTTTAAAATCAGCCTATGGAAAACTTAATGATAATTAAAAGTTTCCTTTCATGTAGTTTAAAAAGCATTGAAGAGCTTAAGGACTGTGTCTCAAATCACTATGTAATGGTTCTGAAGGCTTTGGTTTGTAAATAAAAAGGAAATCCTTTGTTATTTTTGTTGTTAGTTTATTAGAGAATTTGTTTTAGTACAAAAATCTCATCTTGAAACATTAACATTCTTATATTCCATCTTCCCTTCCTAGCCCCCTATTCTTTGTCTGTTGGAACCCGAAGGAACAAAACTACAAATACAAGCCACCTGAATCACAAAAGCAGCAGGAAATCAGCTCCATCTCCAGGGGTGAGTAACAGTGTTGTAAATCCTGTGTGTATTTTTTTTTCCTCTTGGGCGGGGGGGGGGAGGGGCGGGAACCTCATCATTAGAAGTCTCTTTAAAACCTACTGTGGAACTGGATATTCTGTAATAGTCTCAGGTCATTAATTTCCCATAAAAATGTGATGATCTATCTACACTTATTTTGTTTTCCCTATTAGCTAGCAAGGTCTAAGAGGGTAGGACACAAGCTTCACTTTTATACTCTATCCCCCACTGCCTAGAACTGCTTAAAACATAAAACTTCTCTAGAAGGACCTGGAAAAAATAGTTTGAAAGTACATTGCAGTTCCACTAACAGTCTTTTTTGACCCCTTGTGATTAACATAATATTAGCTGAAATTATTTAGGTGAAAGAGAGTGTAGGTCCATTTTTATACAAAATGAATCTTTTTGTGGTACCTTTATTTCCATTAGAAACTCTTGCTTCTACCATGAAATGGTTTTTTAAGCTTTGATCATGACAAATTTCTTCAGTGTTTTGTTTTGTTTTTTATCTACTAAATAGAAATCCCAATTCCTAACTACAGTGGGAAGAGCTAATCACAAATGGCCTTCACCTATCCCTAAAGTTCTGTGTTGAGCCTTTTCCAGCAAATTGCTTACCAACTGATGGTGTCCATTCAGTACTATAAGTTTACAGTTGGCATGGGGTTGGAATAACTTGTTATGAAAATGTTGTGTTGAATCAGATGGGATTGTGGGTATGTCTGAAGATAATGGAAAGATTGCTAGATATAATGCCAGAAGACCTAGGTTCAAGTCTATGCTCTGCCATTTACTAGCGCATGGACAAGCTTCTTTATCTGTAAAATGGAGAATAATATTTACACTACCAAAATTGCCTTGAGGATCAAATGTGTTATTGTTTCTTAAAATTAAACTAGAGGACTGTAGGGGTGGAGAGAGGCTAAAGACGTTTTGAAAATGAGATTTGGCTCCAAGGATCCTTCTTAGGTATTTATTATTTGGGAGGAAGGGAAGTTGACTATGGTCTTCCTGGAATCTATATCTAAAGCCTTTGTAAATTATGCTATATTGGTGATAACATTTCAATATGTGCTCCAGGATTACACATTTATTTTAGTTGACACTGAGAAAGATATTTTATACTTCACCCTATGAAGAGATCTGCCTACCTCACATGAAGCACTATCTATATCTATATATTAATTATGAAATACTTAAATTAAAGCCATGTAGATATCTTTGATTGCTCTGTTGTTACATGATATATTAACATGCCAATATGTTTGGCATCTAAAAAATGAAAACTTGGATGTTAAAAATTGCCTTTTCATTAAACATTAGGACTAGCATCTAATCTGCCCATCCCAGAGAGGTTAAGCAATTTGCCCAAGATCCCATAGCGAGTTAGTGACATGGGCGGGTCTAGAACCCAAGTGTCCTGACTGTTTGCTCAGTATTCTTTCACTATACTACAAGATATAAGGCTCACCAAACATCAGGTTTACTGGCCAATTCCCATCACTATTCGAATAATTTTCTTCTGCCCTATTCAGAAGATCAAAGTTAGTTTTTTTTTCTTCCAAGGACCATATCCCTGGAATTCATGGCTTATTCTTTATTATCTCTTCCCCAGAGAGCTCACTTCATTATGCCTCAAATAGGCAGCTATTTTTAAGTGAGTATTTTGCATTGCTAGGAAAGCTGGAGAAACAGATGTCTATAGGTAGATTACAAATTCAAGGACCATATATTAGTATTTTGAGATAGTGTAAAGTGGTAATGCAATCTCTTCTCAGTATTCCCCCAGGTGACCCAATTAATTTTTGGTCACTATGCTTTCTTTGCTAAGTTATCCTTAGCCTGAGCTATTTTTCTCAGTTCCCTGATCTCTGAACCAGCAAGATCTTTTTCTGATTGGAACTCAGATCCATCCCTTGATTTCAGGTCAAAAACAAAACCACCTAAACCCCAACTCCATAGTATGTCCAAGACTTTAACTACAGAAATTTCCAGAACCAGCTCCTCTTTATGTAGGAACTCCAAACTACTTTTTATCACTTTTCTTAGCTGGGTCCTTTGATCATCTTCACATGTTCTTGATTCTGATGCCTTTCTAGCAGGCTAATAATTCTAGATTGACTTTCAATCTTAATTGCCTACTCCTGGGTTTTTTCAGTAGCTCTCTTCTTTCTTTTTCTAGCATAACCTCCAAGTCCTTTATACTTTCCTTAACACCAGGGCAACTGGATGAGTCAGTGGATAGAGTATCTGGCCAGAAGACTCTTCTTTCTGAGTTTAAATCTGGCCTCACACACTTATTAGCTATGGGACCCTGGGCAAGTCACTTAATCCTATTTGCCTCAGTTTCCTCCTCTGTAAAATGAACTGGAAAAGGAAATAACAAACCACTACAGTATCTTTACCAAGAAAACCCCAAATTGGGTCACGAAGAGTCAGACACAACTGAAATGACTTAACAGCAGTTACCACTAATCACCACTTACCATCCAGCACCTTCAACATCCCATGATAGGTATCCACAACCACCCTTGGGGAGTTAGTTACCTTCCCAGTCTCTATCCCTCTGGACTATTGTGTCATCTGAGAAAACATTTTTGTATCCACAATTCAACTGTACTTCAGTTTCCTGGCTCAATACAGACTGGAAATATTCTTAGATGACATTAATTTTTGGAATAAGAGGTGTTGGTATGTTTACTACATACCAAGGCAAGGAAATGACATGAGATTAGCAACCCCCCCAAAGGAAAAAAAAAGAAAGAAAGAAAAGATTGTCAAGTGTTCTTCTTAGTCATTAAGCACCTAAACCTTTTATTTTTTATTACCTCCATTGTTATTAATAGGACTCACTAGGAAATGTCCATAAATTTTTTTAGTTGGTCCTCTTCATTTTGGTAGCATTGGTAAATTTAAATCCTCTTTCCCCCAAGCAGGCCCCAAGCATCCTACTCTGCAAAGTTATAATCCCCTGAAGATATCTTAGCTCCATCTTTCACAGCCTCCACCTCCATCTGGTGGTGTCTTTAGGTCTGGCCATTTTCATATCCTAGGATATTTTCTTGAAACAAAAGCTATTTGGGATTTGGGGGTGGGGGCAGGGAGGATTTTGGAGGAGGGAATGAAGGAGTTTCTGTCAGCTAAATAACAATTTTTTTCCAAAGCATATTAGTCTGAAGTGTACATGTCCTAACAGTTTAGCATTTCACTAAAGATTATGTTATAATCCTTCTCTGAAACAAAGGCATCTTTCAGCTTTCATTAGTACACACTAAATTCATAAACATTCCTTAGTGACAAATTAGGGACTGAAGGAAATACAAGTAAAGAGATGTTTGGATTTTCTTTGGTTTTCCCTTTTCACACTAATGATAACATTTATGATCACTAGCTCTCCTTGATCCTTTTAATAAATGGTGAAGGATGTTTTGCATTCACTAATAAAAGATTAAACAGTCTTAAAGTCTTAATGCTGATATTTGCTACAAAATAAACTGAGGGCCTATTTCCAAAGTGACAAATTGAACAATAATAGTTTGAAACAAATAAAACAAAAGCAATGTTCAATATTCAAGGTCCTCTGACTATGGGTCACATTCCTGTGCAGCAGTTAAAAATGTGCTCCACCCCCAGTACAATAACTTCCAGATCCCCTTGCTTTCCAGTGGGAATGGGGGAGTTTGTTGTGAGACTAATGGATAGCATAGGTGTGGTGATGCAGCAAAAATGAAAACCAGCTGCATATACAACTTTCTCAAGAGTTCCCATAACAGTAAGGGTAGCAGAGGATAACTAAAGAATTTTAGAAGGGGAGAGGTTATTTTTCCACTTGGCAAACTAATGCAACATGTGGTAGCAAAGATCCTAGAAAAGTCTGGAAGGATAGGAGACAAAGAAAAATGAAATGAGATGCTAGAATATGTAACATCTTCAGAACTGGCTTTATGAATCATCAGTAGTCTTTGTAGGCAAAAGAGCAGCGCTAGAGTACGTCTTCCAAAATTTCAACCATGTATTTAGAGCTTCAGTCAGTTAATAAGCATTTGTTAAGTGCCTACTATGCATCAAACACTGGACTAAACACTGGGAATACAAAAAGAGGCAAGAGACAGTCTCTGCTGTCAAGGAGCTTACAATCTACTGGAGGAAACAACAAGCAAATAAATATGTACAAACAAGCTACATATAGGATAAATAGGAAATAATTAAAAGAGGGAAGGCACCCGAATTAAGAGTGGTTGGGAAAGACTGCCTTTAGAAGATGAGATTTTATTTGGGACTTGAGGGAAATCAAGGGGTGAAGATAAGGAGGGAGAATGTTTCTGGCATGGGAGACCTCAGGAGAAAATGCCTGGAGTGAAGAGATAGAGTGTCTTATTCATAGAAGAGCCAGGAGGCCAGTGTCACTGGAAAGAAGAATATATGGTAGAGAGAGAGGTGTAAAAAGACTACAAAGGTAGGTTATGAAGGGCTTTGAATGCCAAACAGAGGATTTTGTATTTGATCCTGGAGGTGACAGGGAGCCACTGGAGTTTATTGAGTAGGGATCAGACCTGCACTTTAGGAAATATTACTTTGGTGGCTGAATTAAGTTGGGAGAAACTTATGGCAGGCAGACCAATCAGCAGGCTATTGCAATCACACAAGCATGAGGTGATGAGGGCTTGCACCAAGGTGATGGCGGTATCATAGGAAAGAATGGGGCATGTTAGAAAGATGTTGCAAAGGTGAAATTGATAGGCCTTGGCAACAGTTTGGATATGGCAAGTGAAAGATACAGAAGGGTTAAGGAGGACACCTAGGTTGTGAGCCTGAGGGACTAGAAGGATTATGTTGTCCTTATCAGTACTAGATAGAGGAGAGGGATTAGAGGGAAAGATAGCCAGTTTAATTTTGAACCTATTGAATTTAAGATGTCTATGGGACATCCAATTCGAGATGTCTGAATGGTAGATAGAAATGTGATATTGGAGATCACCAAAAAACTTAGGGCAAGTGTATGTAAAATGATATGGACTTGTTTTCTTTTTTAGATACTAGTTTCCAGGATCATGGCCTGTAAACAGTTTTACTGCGAGTGTGCCTCATTATATAATCATAAGTCATATAAGTATTTGAGCTTAGATTGTAAACAGTCCACTGCACCTGCTCTGTGCTGTCACCATGATACTGCTAAAGTTAATGTAAACTTATGAGCCTACTGCTGGCAAAATGCCTCCTTTGTCTGTTTCTCTATAAATCAGGTGGGCACTGGTCAATGAATGCGGAATGTGGAATGTGAAAGCTGTGCTTGTCTTGACTCACCACCATCGAGACTTAGGGGGATGATGTAGGAGCTGGTGCTCCTACTGTTATTCTCGCTGGCCCCTACAAGAAGAGTAATTGAGAAGAATAAAGTAAATTAACCCCTCATCATGCCTCCGCTGCTATCTTCCTGTCTGCCTGGATCCAGAGTGAACATGCTAGAGACTGGAGCCCAGAAGCTCCTGTGTTACAGCAAGCTATGTAGATGAGAATCATCAGTATAGAGACTATAATTAAATCCATGGGAACTGATGAGATCCCCAAGTGAAGTAGTATATAGGGGGAAGAAAAGAGGGTGCAGGTAAGAACCCTGTGGGATACCAATGGTACATGGGTGTGACCCAGATGAGGATTCAGCAAAGGAGACAGAGAAGGGCAGTCTGGTAGGTAGGAGGAACACTAGGAGAGAGTGGTGTCTTGAACATTTTGAGAAAAGAGGGTGATCCAACAATATCAAAGACTGAAGGGAATTCAAGAAGAATGAGGATTTTAAAAAGGTCATTGGATTTGACAATTAAGGAAATCATTAATAATATTGGAAAGAATAGTTTCAGTGGAATGATGAGATTGGAAGATGTATTGTAGGGGGTTAAGAAGAGAGTATGAGGTGAGGAAATGGAAGGCACCTCTTGTAGATGGTCTTCTCAAGGACTTTAGTCACAAAGAGCAGAAGAAATATAATATGATAACAGGGATAGAAGAATCAAGTGAAGGTTTTTTTGAGGATGGAGAAGACATGGGCATTTTTGCAGGCAAGAGGGAAGGAGCCAGTAGGCAAGAGATTGAAGATAAGTAATAGAGTAGGAATGACAGAGGGGGTAATCTGTTGGAGTATGGAAATATGGTATTGCTTATAAAGGTAGAGAGGTTAGCCTTAGTGCGGAGTAGGGCTACCTCTTTGTGTGAGACAAAAATGAAGGAGGAGATAGTGGCAAAACCATATGAATGAGATGAGGGAGAAGAGAGAAGAGGGAGTCATGGTAAATGGCCTCATTTTTTCTCATCTGGGGGGTGGAGGTTTGAGGGAAGATACAAAGGTTTAAAAGAGCTACTGTGGAAAATGGGATAGTGAGTTAATAAGGGAGGTGTAGAAGATTGTCTAGCAACAGTGAAGGCCCAGTTGAGGTTATATAACATAAAATTGTAGTGGACTCAATTAGTATAGTTGTATGATTTTCTTTATCTTTATTCACCAGTACTTATGTAGGAGTAAAAGGAATGATCTAAGGTTGAGCCTTGGAAATGGTGAAATAAGTAATATGAAAAGGAGGCCAGAGATTCTAGAGGAGAGAATAGTGTAGAGTTGAACTCATTCACCAAGGGGTCAAGAAAGAGAAAAGAAGAGAGAATAGATAGTGCAGGAGTAATGGCTTGAATGAGAACTGAAAGGCCAAGGGATCAAAGGTCATGATGCAGATGAAAAGCAGGGTTTAATAAGGGAAAGCAAAGCAAGAAGTGGGAAGCCATTAGATTATGGTCAGATAAAGAGTCTCCAGAATTCTTGAACATGGAGGCGATGCATTTGTGGAATGCAGCAGGATCAAGGATATTTTGATAGGATCGAAGATGTGGATCGTATGGACCTCTAAGGAGGAGAGGTTACTGTGTGATGGAGGTAGGGCAAGAACCTGGAAGTTGCATTGTAGAATAAGGAGTATCCCAACTCCTTTGTCTTGCCCAGTGAGCTGAGAGGAATGAGTGAAGGTACAGCCAGTACTGAAAAGGGAGGCCACAGAGCCTGCGTCATCAGTAGGGAGCCAGTTGTTGGTGACTGCTAGAAGATGGATGGAGTAGAAGAAGAAAAGATTTTACAGAGACAAGTTTGTTGTTCATGCAACAGGCATTCCAGAGGGCATAGTGAAAAGGCTGGATACTTTTGGTTGGGACTTTGGGGTGGGAGGTTTGAGGGCGATGAGAATAAGGAGTCAAGTAGAAAGAGTTAGGAATGGGATTTGGATGATGACCTATAGGGTTCTGAAGCACTGAGATGCATAGGCTATGCGTAGCCAGATATGAAGAAGTTCTTAATTGAATGAAAGACTCTACCCTTCTTCCCAGAGGAAGAGTCTAAGCCTTGACTCGTACAAATACTTCAAGGATCTGTGATTTCATCCATATAGGTTCTTCCTTTACCAATATGAATAATAGTCCTTTCACACCTTAGTAGTTGTTTAATGAGTTGCAGTAGCAAATATAGATAGATATGCACATACACATACATTTGGACCAAACCTATGGTTTCATTGAAATGGGAGACACCTGATGAGGAAATGTTAGCTCTTATTACATTTTCTCTACCAATACATATCAGTACCTGCTTTACAAGTTATGGTCTGAGAGAATTGCCTCAGACACTGAGAGATTGATTAAATGACATAGCTGAGTCAGGGATGGGACTTGAGCTAAATCTTCCTAACTCCAAATTTGGGTCTCTATCAGCTATGCCACAGTACCTCTCATATATATCAATTCTTGAACCCAAGTCTTAAGGATTTAAAGAAAAAAAATGCCCATATATTTGCTACCACATTAAAACACACACACACACCAGGAAAAGTCACCTTGACTGGCTCATAATATGACCTTCTCTAGAGGTCTCTGCTAGGTCTCTGCCACCCTTTGCTCTCATTTGCTTCAGTGAGTGGAGCTAATACCTGTTTACTTATAGGTAATGAAGTTAGCTTGTGATGATTTAAAAATTAAAAAAGAACTTTAAATAACAAACTTCAAATAACTAGTAAAATGTTCTGAGCCCCCAGGCAATTGGTTTCTTGCCAGATGGAAGAGGGTGATCTCCCAGCCAGTAGAATTTAGCATAATCAGATATCCACAAATTACCCTTCCCTGTCACTATCAAAAGCAAAAACAAAAACTGAAAAATCATTTTAAAATTATCTTTTTTCTAGCAACCATGTTTAAAAATATAAATTGTCAGTAAGCAAAACTTTTAAATAGAAAAAAAAAACCTTAGTAATGAACCTTGTCTCCCACTGAATGAGGCAATAGGAAAATGGAGTAGATTCACTATTTGTTGTTCTAGCAGTTTCTCAAAGAAGCCAGAATTCTGTCACTCTCTGTTAGATTCTCTTAATAAACCCAGCTAGCCAGGAAAAGGAAAAGGCAGAATCTGCTACTGCCAACCCTTCTCCCCTGTCCCTCTCTCCAAAGAGATTTTTAAAATACCCTCTGTACAACACAGGCCTGTTCCAGTTGGGAAAAAATAGAACTCCCGGGGTCTTTAGTGACTTAAGTCCCTTCACAAGGCAGCCAGTACAAGCCTTGCCTGAAGGATTGTTTATATGTGTATTTAGACACATATTGACATTATACATATATATACATACACAAATATAAATTTATATATATATGTGTGTGTGTGTGTGTGTGTGTGCATATAAATATATGTAGAGGGAGGTGATATGGACCAAATGATCAATGTGTGTGTGTGTGTGTGTGTGTGTGTGTGTGTTAGGACTTGGCATAGCAATCAGGAATTCAGTCACCCCCACATCCTCATATAATGATAATGAAGCATCAAAGGAGGGTTTTCAAGAAAAGCCTTATATACCTTTTTTGTTCAGTCACTTTAGTCATCCAACTCTTCACGACCCCATTTGGAGTTTTCTTGGCGAAGGTACTAGAGTGGTTTGCCATTTCCTTCTCCAGCTCATTTTACAGATGAGGAAACTGAAGCAAATTGTGACTTGCCCAGGGTTACACAGCTAATAACTGTCTGGGGCCAGATTTGAATTCAGGAAGATTCCTCTTCCTGACTCCAGGCGCAGCATTCTATCTACTGTGTCACCTAGCTACCCTGCCTTACATATAGGAAGTATTTAAGTATTTTAATCTTTTGAGCACATGTTCTGGATCCACACTTATTTGTTACTCAGTGGACCAGGGTATACAGCCTAGGATTGTTCAGGCCCCTGTACTCCTCAAGGACTCTTCCTCAGAACTCTAAAGCAACCAAAGCTGGAATTTTCCATGATGGCTCCTTCTCAAGGTAATATTTCTAATAATGAGGAGGTAGTTGAGCATGTTGGAAAAGAGCACCATTCTAAAAGTCAGTGGAGCTAGGTTCTCATCTCAGCTCTGTCACAAACTAGCCACATATCCTGAGGCTTGCCGAAAAAAACAACAACTATAGATCCTAATTTCATCATCTGTAAACATTATAATAGTCATGAACCTGTTTTGAGAAGCTAAAATGTCATATAGATATATGTTGGCATCACCTCCAACTTTAAATCTATTTCCTACTTTTTCATCTCCTGCTGCTTCTTTTGCCATATCTGCTCTTACAAGGTAAATATATAGAAAGTGTCATACTATATATATCAGACCTATAACCATCCAGCCTAGTGGTCAGTTCCCAAAAGCAGCCCCAAGGGACAGATTATTCCAACATTATTTAGTAGCTTTATAGCTACCATTCATAACTTTATTCATATAGTTTGGAATTCTGGTCTAATCATTTTAGCATTTGGAGATCAAATCTTTGTTTACTTTATCTGCACCATCATAATTTTACAGATGACTATTCCACCTTAACCACCAGTTTATAAGCTGAAGAGTTATAATGTATTTGGAACTGGTTTACCAAGGAATCAAGAAGAGGAAGGGAAGCAAGCATAGCCAATGTAGGATTGATGGCCTGGGACAGAACTGATGGGTGGAAGGATTGGATGATGCGCTGAGGACAAAGAACAGTCTGGAGTTCCAAGGCAGAGGGAGAGGTGAAATTATGATCAGATAAAATAATTTTAGATTTCATGAATATGGAAATGGAAGTGAAACATTTGTGTGTGATGGCAAGCTCAAGGTATAAACATCTTTGTCTAAAGCTGTGGTGGGGTGAAGAAGTAGGGCGTAAGAAATGACCAAGTTAATGGAATGGCTATTCATGAGAGCAGGCTCAGGTGAGGTGACTGATCTGGAATTGTGGCTGGAGAAGTGCCTGGGACATGATGGAAGGAAGTTACTAGTGTTATGGTAACAAATATCTCTGTTACCTGATTAGT